CATTCCTATTATTACAATTCTAGTCACGAACGAAATTATTTTAATTTTTACAGACGTCTGAATTGTCACAATTCGCGACAAAAGAGTATCCTCATTTTTTTCACTCGAAAAAAGAAACGATCTCATTCTCGACGTAGAGTATTGATCGTGATCGTACATGAACTACTTTTCTTTTATAGATATGATTACGAGATTAGTTCGATTTATTAACCATTTCGTATTCATACAATTATAATAGAATTAGGATACAGAGTTTATGCATTTATGGAAAATTTGGAGCTGCAAAAATGCACACATAATGCATGTAATGTACAAAAACTCCAAAATAAAACGAATTTTTCTTTTTTAAGTTTTATTCCTTTAGGGATATTTGTAAGAATTTTAAAATACACAATCGACTATTCTTTACGTGTTATTTGGCACGTATGTGATCCATTGAAACTGGAGATAACTTTTCAAATCTCTTGTTATAATTCTTACACGTGTATTGTTCTACACAGATACAGTTTATTGGGAGCTAGTGGCTGTGGAAAAACCACTTTGCTCTCGTGCGTGGTTGGCGTGCGAAAATTGGACAGCGGTGACATTTGGGTGCTCGGTGGCAAGCCAGGTACCAAAGAATGCGGAATTCCAGGGCCTCGCATCGGTTACATGCCGCAGGACGTTTCTCTGATCGACGAATTTTCCCTGTTTGACGCGCTTTACTTCTTTGGAAGAATCAGTGGCATGGAAAAATACGAAATCGGTAATCAAAGAATTTAAATGTGCTTCTCGTTCTATTCGTTTATTACAAACGCGGGAATTTCACTTGGGGATGAAGTAAGAAATAATGCAATTTCCAATCCGTTACTTTAGAAACAACATGGAAGATGATTTCTTATTTGAGTTAATTCGGCATGAACAAATAATCTGAGGTCTTGGTGGCGAAATTAAATTTCGAAAAAAAACTGACGATATGGCGAGTTATAAGCTGTTATAATTTCAACAAGTAATCACGCAGCAACGTGATCAATCTGAGCTCATTTTAGCGTGATGCATCTTCAACTTTCATAATTCTGAATCTATTTTTCACAGAAATGTTCTTTCTGTCGCGTTAGCCGTTTCTGGTACAAGAATGTTTATACGAACAACACGTTAGTAAATGACATTATAATATTAACATTTAAATAAAGTAACGATGTAAAAAAACGTTACAACGTTTAACATTTGAGATAAAATGAATTACTTCTCGGATCCGATTCCTCTGCTTGCATTTACATGAACATTTGTAGTCTAACGATAATAAATTAAAACAAAATCACGAGTATCGTGTTTATTAGGACATTAATTTATACCACGAGCGGGAGGAAACGTTAACGAGATTGGAAACATTGTGTTTAGAGGAAAGGTATATGGAACTGAAGGACTTGCTTCAACTACCACCCAGAAATCGTTTGGTGAAGAATATGAGCGGTGGCCAACAGAGGAGAGTATCGTTTGCAGCGGCTCTGCTTCAGAGGCCTGAACTGTTGATACTCGATGAACCCACTGTCGGTTTGGATCCAGTTTTAAGGGACAAGCAAGTACACTTTCATTCACTTCTATCCGAAGGAGGGCTCATGGGGGAAAAAGGGAAATGGGAATGTTAACAAATTTTAATTTCGAACATTTTCCCGAATTAAAATTTGCTGAATTTTACATTTCCTTCTTCCCTTTGTCTTGACATAAATTTCAGTCTTTATCATAGCCTGGATATCGATTGGTCACAAATCATCGTTGTTGACATTGGTCAATATGCGAAGAATACGATTATCTCTCGATTGGTTGCAGCAGAATTTTTTGTAATATTTAAATATTTATAGGGATCTTCTTATGGAAATTGTCGATCAGGATACTCGAACATTATTTACTACATACTATACTACATACGACATACATGTGTAAATTTAAATAATTGTACACATAGTGCAATTGGAAAAGTTTCCATTACCTTTCGATAGTTTTATAAAAATATCATTATAATTTTTATAGCTTTAAATGCTGACAGTAAATTTTATTATAATATTATATACTTTGTATGAAGTATATTTATTCATTTATATAATATAATAATATAAATAATATAACATATTAAATATAATATTACTAATTTAAAAATTTATAATTATTAATATTATTATTATATTTTATATTATATTATTGGTGTCAGTGCGGTGCACAGACGTCGTTCAAGAATTAATGTAACTTTTTGAGAATATTAACTTTGTATAAAGTATATTTATTCATTTATATAATATAATAATATAAATAATATAATATATTAAATATAATATTACTAATTTAAAAATTTATAATTATTAATATTATTATTATATATTTTATATTATTATATTATTAGTGTCAGTGGGGTGCACAGACGTCGTTCAAGAATTAATGTAACTTTTTGAGAATATCAACACATTACAAATGTTGTCCATACACAAAATTCGCAGAAATTACACATTTTTGTTACGAGTTATATTGTGTGTAATAAAAAAAAAAACAAGCTAATGTTAAACAATACAAACGACAAGTACAAATTTAAACGTGACTAAAGAATGTTGTTGGTCAATTGAACAAAGATTTTGTCACCGTGCAACACGTGAACAATAAATGAAAACTCTTTGCACAGTATCTGGAATCACTTGGTGAAGATCACGAAAGAAGAAGGAGTCACGGTTATTATTACTACGCATTACATCGAGGAAGCAAAGCAATCTGATCGGGTAAATTTTAAATGAAGATATAAATATTAATGTCATTTTTAGCAAACATTAATATTCGAAAAGAAAAATGACGAATACTTTACAATTCAGATTTTATTCGATGATATTTTCCCTTGTTTCTATTAACTTAACACTTACATACAAATTTGCAAATATTTAAATATTTTTAAATACTTTAAATGTAATTAAAAATGAACGTGCTAAGAAAAAAGGAGGAAAATTATAATACAGCAAAGAATACAAGCTATTACTTGTATAGTTTTTGAAAAATTATTCGGATCTCTAACAATGCTTCGTCATATATCTACAAAATTTTTCTGAACAATGACGAATTGGTCATTTGAGACTGCTTATTGACAAGTGAGAAGTAACATTCTCAAAAATCTTAGGACAAGTACATTTGTTTAAATAAAAGTTAAATAACACTTTGTTTAGTTCTTATAATAATAATTCTTCTACCTTGTAATTGTAATTAATGATACTTCTACTTGAATAAAGAATCAATAAAGTGATAATATATTAAAAATTCCATTGTAAAATATCCGTTGTGAAGTAAATATGCAATTGAAAGTTTTATTATCTGCAATAATACTGAATATTGAAAAGAAAAAAATTTCCTAAAATCTTCGAACACGAGTGTATTCAAATACGGTAATTATTTCTCAACACTTATTCCATTAGTAATCGCCTTATTGATATTAATATAATTGTCTATGTGATATTGGCAGCCTGTATATGTACATGTATAATTGTACATGTGCTTGAATTTTACTTGAAAAGAAATTATAAAAGTAACTATGAGAAAGTGCATTAATCACGATTATTATTTGTAGATTGGATTGCTAAGGAGTGGTCAGTTACTGGCTGAATCATCGCCGAACGAGTTATTGACTCGATTTCACACCGACTCTTTGGAGGAAGCTTTTTTAAGTTTGAGCCAGCAACAACAAGAGCAGAGTCTACAAGAAAATATCAATCCGATCTGTAGCTCCTCCGGAGGAATCAGTCCTATTTATAATTCGCAGGTAAAATTTTTTTAATATTCTAATATCGAACGTTCGGTTATACTTAACAGCAATAAATGGTTTTTTTTTTTTT